GGGCGGGGGGGGGGACTGCTGCCCACTCCTCAGCTAGGCTATTCTTGGAGGTGAGGGAGGTAGGAGTGAATGCCCCACAGCCTGGGAACCACAGAAAACACAGCCCACCCCTGCCTGCAGGGGGAAACGGGCTGCCCCAGAGAGCCACAATTGGGCTGTTGTGCAGCGAGGCCACAGGGAAGCCAGCAGCTCCAGCTACCCGTGGCCAGCGGCAGCGGTACCTGTGGCCAGCCAGTGGGAAGGATCACCCTAGGGACAAGGAGCCCAACGCTGGGGTCTCTGGGGGCAGGGACAGCTCAGTGATATCCCTCACAGGAAGTCTGAGGGGCCAGGGCCTAGTGGGCCATGTGAAATGGCCACAGGAGTAGAAGGAACACATGGACCCTGAGTTGGGGGACTGGATCCAGGTGCAGCCAATCCACCTGCTGCCGGTCCTGAGGTCACGACAATTCCATCAGCAGCAGCATTCTCTCCATTAAGAGTCCCTTGAGTGAGTCCAGACTATTTCTTCCTTCCTCTCTCCCAGAGAAAGGATAAGACACGGCAGATGTTTCATAACCCAAGACGGATGGCCTTGGAAGGTCAGTTACAAACTGCTAAACTCATGGCCACGGCAGCCCGGGAGGTCAAGAGCAGCAGCTGTGGCCAAGCCGTCCCACAGCCCTGCCTGGCACAAGAATCAGGGCCCAAGGAGCAGGAGTTTCAGGTAGGCCAGGGTCGTGGCATTGGCCAGCATCTCAATGTGCTCGCTGCCTGGCAGCTCCTGCAGTGAGACCTGGTGTTCCTGGCGGCTGCGCCAGGTCTGGCACTGCAGGGCACTCTGCAAGTTCACAGTGCCATCGCCATCACCAAAGTAGATTTTAGGGTCACGGTCTGGGAAACTCTCATAGTAGAAGGAATCTGGTGTGGGGACACCCGTGCCATAGAGGCAGTGCAGTGGCACGCCAGGTGGCACCATGGCTTCAACCAGCCCCTCCGTGTCCTGCCGCATGAGCCAGCCGTCTTCGAAGCCAATGTCCTGGAAGAACTGGCGATAGTCGCGCAACGTGTAATTGGTCGTGGATGTGCGTACAAAGACCTTCTCAGGTGACCAGGTATAGTTGTAGGGCAGCAGCCAGCTGGTAGAGACAGCAGTCCGCTGCTGCTCCCGGATCTTCAGGGGACTGATGACTGGGATCCGGTTGTTGTCCCCTGCAGGGAGAGGGCTCCAGTCAGTCAGTGCTCAGGAACGCAAGCTGGCTGGGCACCATGTTCACCGCCAGGGCCCCTGCTGGACCCCAACCAGTGGCCCAGTCAGCACACCAGTCTCTCCAGTTATCATTATAACTCCCATGCCTGCATTCCCTTTTATTGTTTCCCTGTAATTTTGCTACATCTGGGAAGCACCCAACCAACACTTGTTTCTTTCCTTCTGCATTTCTTCACCAGGTATTTAGGCAACACACACCCACAAGGTGAATTACCACTGGGCCTGTAGGCACTGACCTTATCCAAGGTGAACCAGCAGGTTGTCAGCCCAGAGGCACAATCCTTTTTTTTTTTTTTAATTACAATGAGCTATGCAAATATTTTTCTTTTTCTAGGCTTAGAACTGCAGCCAGCCAGTCCTGCCTGTCGCTGACCCAGGCAGCCAGGCCCCCCAGGCAGGTCTGCAGACTAGAGCAAGAGTTCTTCAAACACAGGAATGCCAACAATACACACACACCCAGTTGCCAGTGAAACTTGGTAGAGGGTGAGTTGGAACTTGGGAACGGGAGCCTCTTGACCCTGTTGAGGACCCATGGCCATCCATCACTCTACCTCTCTGACTGACCACAGAACCACCGCTCTGCCTGGCGGGGCCTGGCTCTAAGACTCCTGAGGAAAGGGAGGCCCCCACCTAGGGGTCCATGACTATCACCCTTCCCACCGCCGTCCTGCTCCCAGATTGCCAGGGCCTGAAAGAACAGTTTCCCAGTGTCTGAGGCAAAGCCAATCCAGGGTCACTACAGGGACAGGCACTGGTCTGACCTGATCACAACAAGCAGATCAGGCAGTGCCGGTGACTTGAGGAAGAAAGCTCATCAGATGGTTGGCCCAGCCCTGTGGGCACTGACCTTATCCAGGGTGAACCAGCAGGTTGTCAGCCCAGAGGCACAATCCTGGTTTATGGCTCCTAAAGTGAGGGGCCATGGGGCTCACACCAGTTCTGGCAGAGGGAGGGGATGCCCTATGGCTGTAGCTGGCAGATCCTGACAGACATGAAAATGCAGGTGGCCCTGGCTGGCGTGGCTCAGTTGGTTGGGTGTTGTCCTGTGCACTGCAAGGTTGTTGGTTCAATTCCCAGTCAGCACCCAGCCAAGGGTTGTGGGCTCGATCCCCGGTAGGGGGGCATGCAGGAGGTGGCTGATCCATGTTGCACTCTCACACGGATGTTTCTATCTCTCTCTCCCTCTTCCTTCTTCTCCCATTTAAAAAAAAAATCAATTAAAATATTTAAAACAAAAAACAAAATTCAGGTCAATTGGGGAGAAATGGAATGGGGAAAAAGGTGACTTTCCCAACTGCCTAGCAAGCAGGCCCAAACAGAGCTGCACCTGCTTCCTCCTTGTGTTGCCAACAGAGGTTCTGAGCTGCTGCACATGGAGGTGCAGCTCATAAACAGGAAACTGTCGTCTAGCCTTCCTTCTCTGGGGCAAAGGTGGGAATGAAAGAGTGAGTATGAGGATAGGGGAGAGGGAGAAGGTTCCCCCAAAGAACTCTGGGTCAAACCAAGTTAGGCGCCAGGCCTGAGCAGAGTGTGTGTACACGTGTGCACAAGCAAGCACCTGCATGACCGAGAGTTATGTCCATGTACATGCTGTAAGACACGTGCACAGGTAACCAAGGTCCTCAACTAGAGAGGTGACATTATTTGGAAAAGAATACCATTCTGGAGAAAGAAGGGTTCCCCAGGAGGACACTGTAGAGGGGAAGAGAGGGTGCCACCCCCAACACCAGCCCCCGCATGCTGGACCAGGCAGTGTCTTACCTGAGGCCAGGACGCGAAAGGTCTTGGCCACGCCCCCCCAGGGCGCACCCAGTGCCACGAAGGCACGGATATACTTGTCCTTCCAGGCCTGTGGCTGTCGCTGCAGAAAGTAGAGCGTGTACATGTTGCCCATGCTGTGGGCAACCAGCACCACGGGGCCCCCATACAGCTGGTGCATCTCCTCGATCATCTCCCGGAGGGCCAGGAAGTAGGGCCCATTTTCATCTGCAGGCCAGAGCCAGGCGGGAGTCAGGCGCGAAGGGTCCTGGGGCCTGAACTATGACTGTCTCTCAGGCCAGACCCAGGACTAGGAGAGGATGCTACAATTCAAGTGGGAGTAATATGGTTTCCCCTCCCGTTCAATGAGGGTAGGGAACAAAGGGGCTCCCTTTCCCCTCCTCAGACTCACTATCTCTCTCCAGAGCTCAGAGACTCAGAAATCCTGGGGTGACGGAGGGGGAAAGACAGGACAGATTGACCAGGAGTAGGGGAGAGCCCAGGGCCTATGGTGACTGTGAGCCCTTGTCCCCACCTCCCATGACCTCAGCGGGAAACAAGGGTGATCACTTACTTGGGGCTCGGCGCCAGTCATAAGGGGCCCCCCGGACGTCCTCACCCCTTGTGTAGCCCCAGCTCACAAGGCTCTCTACCATGGTGTGGAAATAGGAACCTATACACAGAGAGGTACAGGATTAGTCCTGACTGGTGTGGCTCAGTTGGTTGAGCGTTGTCCCATGTCCCATGCACCAAGAGGTCACCAGTTCAGGTCAGGGCACAAGCTGGGTTGTAAGCTCCATCCCCAGAAGGGGGCATGCAGGAGGCAGCCGATCAATATTTCTCTCTCTCTCCCTCTTCCTTCCTCTCTCTAAAGTCAATTAAAAAAAAAAAAAAAAAGAGCCCTAACTGGTTTGGCTCAGTGGATAGAGAGTCGGCCTGCAGACTGAAGGGTCCCAGGTTCGATTCCAGTCATGGTTGTGGGCACATCTCCGGTGGAGGGTGTGCAGGAGGCAGCTGATTGATGTTTCTAGCTCTCTATCTCTCTCCCTTCTTCTCTATAAAAAATCAATAAAAATATTTAAAAAAAAAAAAAAGAGCCCTAGCCAGTTTGGCTCAGTGAATAAAGCGACTGAAAGGTCCTAGGTTTGATTCCAGTCAAGGGCATGTACCTCGGTTGCAGGTTCCCTGGCCCTGGTCGGGGTGAGTGCAGGAAGCAACCAATCGATGTGTCCCTCACATCAATGTTTCTCTCTCCTTCTCCCTCTCCCTTACACTCTCTCTAAAAATCAATGGAAAAATATCCTCAGCTGAGGATTAACAAAACAAAAGAAAAAGAAAGAAATGCATAGGATTACAGAGGGTACTGCCAGTGCCAGCCACCTATAACATGCCTGCCAAGGACACTGTGACCTCTACCGCAGGGAGGCCCCTGAAGGAGTGCTCTCTGCCCACACCTATCAGAGAACGACTCTGCCTTCAAACTGAGTGGTTCCTCCCACACCAAGAGTCCCGCAAAACCTCCAGCCTCATTCCCCAGAGAGCATGAGAAGGGCCACATACCCACACTGCTTTTGCTGGGATCCAGGAACTCCAGTGAGAAGGTCTCCCCAAAGCCAGGGACATGCACGTCCACACCATCGGGAAACTGGGTGGCCCGGGACGTCCTGTTGTAGACCAGCCTGTCAGGAGGGGATACGGAGCTGGTGACCCAATGTTGGCACTGAATTTGAGTCCCAATTCTGCCCCGTGTCCTGAGCCACACTCCCTTCTCTTCCTCAGGTTTGGTCACTTGTACAAGGGAGACGAAAAAGTAACTGGGGGTTCAGAGTTAGTCACTGAAGGTTGCTTCTGTGCATTGTTCTGAGCTAAAGACAATTTTAGCTGCCCCTCCCTTTAACTTGAATTAGGGTCCTTGCCCATAATAATTACCATTAATTATATGGTAGGGCGAACTTCTATTTACTAAACACTTGTTCTTATCATTCTGTAATGATCCATTGAAGCCCCCAGGGCACCTTACCTCAGCCCTGGCTCTTCTATCTTATATACCCACTAGAGCAGTGGTTCTCAACCTTCCTAATGCCGCGACCCTTTAATACAGTTCCTCATGTTGTGGTGACCCCCAACCATAAAATTATTTTCGTTGCTACTTCATAACTGTAATTTTGCTACTGTTATGAATCGTAATGTAAATATCTGATATGCAGGATGTATTTTCATTGTTACAAATTGAACATAATTAAAGCATAGTGATTAATCACAAAAACAATATGTAATTATATATGTGTTTTTCGATGGTCTTAGGCGACCCCTGTGAAAGGGACGTTCGACCCCCAAAGGGGTCTCGACCCACAGGTTGAGAACCACTGGGTTAGAGCATCATCCTGATACATCAAGGTTGCAGGTTCAATCCCCAGTCATTGCACATAAAGAATCAACCAATGAATGAATAAATAAGTGGAACAACAAATCTCTCTCTCTCTCTCTCTCTCTCTCTTTCTCTCTCTCTCTCTCTCTCTCAAATCAAATTTTTATAAAAGAGGAGCCCAGGACACTCTCCTCAGTGTCACCCACCCCAGAATGCAGGTCTTAGATCCGTTTAGGAGAGGGAAGCACCAGGCCTGGCTCTGCCATGAACATCACACTTGACCCCAAAAGGCAACCTAACTTCACAGGCTCCCATCGCTCCATCTCTATGGATCCAGCTCCTAGAAGCCACCACAGTACATCACAGGGCAAAGGAGATGATGAGAGCAACACATAACAGAACCAGACAGAGAGACGCCCCCCACACACACACCTCAGAGGCCACTGTGTGGGTAGACGGACCAAGCCTAGAGAAATGATGGGGAAAGGGTGGTGGGAGACAGGAGGAAGGCCTTATGCCAAACCAGGAACCCTGCCAAGGAGGCAAATGTGCCTGAGAAAACACAAGCTAGACAAGCAGTCCCTGATGATCCCGAGTCCCACCCCATCCTAAAGATTAGCTACAGAAAGATGACAGGATTCCCAACATTGACCCAAATAATAGGTCCTGGTGACCTACTCTCTCAAGGGCAAGCTGTAGATCACCCCAGTGGCCACTCAGCAAAGTGCAGAAAATTGTTCTGGAAAGCCAAGGTAGCTCTGTGCCGGGTGAAAGTCAAACAGGTCAGAGGAGCAATGAAGGTAGATGAGCCCCTCTTGGTGTCAGTCCGCACCTCCGATTGGCAGTAACTGAGACCATGTCTCTGGTACAAAAATAGAAATGCAGATCAAGAGCCCAGAAATGACTCTGATGACAAACACACACAGAAGAGGAAAGAGTCAACAAAGCAGGCATCTTAAATGACGGGAAGGGCAGGGTGCCTGGAGAGACAGCTAGTGTGTCTCCAAGAAAAAATGTTTAATTTGTTAGATTCCATTCGGCTCGAACATTTTTTTGAGCACCAGCTGGATTCCAGGTTCTACCGCTATAAAGATAAAAGAGAGAGAGTCCCTGCCTCAGGGAGCTCAGTCTGAGAGGGAAACTTAGCTCAGGGTCATATAATTCTGGGTTGGAATCCTGGTTTTGCCCCTTATTAGTTGAGTGACCCTGGCAATTTTGTAACTGACCTGAGATTCCAGATGTCCTCACTATAAAACTGGTTTATAAACAGCACCTCTTTCATAGAGTTGCTATAAGACTAAATGAGCCTGGCTGGTGTGACTCGTGACTCAGTGGTTGAGCATCGACCTATGAACCAGGAGGTCACGGTTCAATTCCAAGTCAGGGCACATGCCCAGGTTGCATGCTCAAACCCAATGGGGGGCATGCAGGAGGCAGCCAATTAATGATTTTCTCTCATCATTGATGTTTCTCCCTCTCCCTTCCTCTCTGAAATCAATTATATATATATATATATATACTAAATGAAAGAAAGTATGTAAAATGTACAGTGTCTGTATTCAATAAGCAGTAATTCTTATTATTGGGAAGCATTCTTGGAAACAAAGTTTGATGAGAGTTAGAGGAAACAGGCATGTGGCACGGGGAGTAGGAGATTAACAGCTCTGGAGAGTGGCAGGGACCTGCTCGGGATTTAAAAGGTGAATGGGGCGGGGAGGAGGGGGGTTGGCCAGTATTGTTCTGTGGTTAGAGTGTCAGCCTGTGCCCTGAACGGTCATGGGTTTGATTCCCAGTCAAGGGCACATACCTGGGTTGCAGGTTCAATTCCCGGTTCTGTCAGGGCACATTTGGGAGGCAACTGACCGATGTTTCTCTCTCACATTGGCGTTCCTCTCCCTCTCCCTCTCTCTCTCACTTCCCTCCTCCCTCCCTCCCTCCCACTCTCTCTAAAAATCAAGGAGAGGCCCTCCAGCCGTGGGCAAACTACGGCCCGCGGGCCGGATCTGGCCCGTTTGAAATGAATAAAACTAAAAGTAATGATGTTTACTTTGAATTTATATTAGTTCACACAAACACTCCATCCATGCTTTTGTTCCGGCCCTCTGGTCCAGTTTAAGAACCCATTGTGGCCCTCAAGTCAAAAAGTTTGCCCACCCCTGCCCTAGCCGGTCTGGCTCAGTAGATAGAGTGTCGGCCTTTGGACTAAAGGGTCTGGGATTCAATTCTAGTCAAGGGCAGGCTCCTTGGTTACAGGCTCCTCCCAGGTCTGGGCCCTGGTCAGGGCTTGTGCAGGAGGAAACCAATTGATATGTTTCTCTCACATCCATGTTTCTCTCTGTTTTTCCCTCTCTCTTCTACTCTCCCTAAAAAATCAATGGAAAAATAGCCTCAGGTGAGGATTAACAAAATCAATGGGGGGAAAAATATCCTTGGGTGAGGATTAACAACAAAAAAGGTGAATGGAGGGAATTTATCCAGCAAAGGGTATAGAGGTAAATTCCAGGCTGAAAGAACAGTATCTGCAAAAGCATGGAGACCTGGCATACCAGGGAGAACAAACAGCTGGAGGGGCAGGTGTGGCCAACCCAGAGGCAAGGGAAGGGGTGAGGGCCACGTTGAGGCTATGCAGAGGGACTGGAGCACAGAAACCTCAGGTAGGGCTCAAAGCACAAGGTGTGGCTCGGAGAGGCAAGAACAAGAGCAGCAGGAAAGGGAAGAAATTCTGTCCGAGAGACACAGACGGTGCCAAGCAGACTAAGGAAATGGGAAGTGAGAAAGGGGCATGACCTTAGGCCTCTTAGGTGGGGATGAGCTGGAAATGGACTCTGGGGGCCTCTGGAGGCTGAGTTGGCGAGCAGCACCCGGCCTGTACCCCAGCTCCCACCTGATATTGTCGATCCAGCAGTCAATGATGACAGGCAGCAGCAGTTCGAGGTTCAGCCAGAGCGTGAAGTAGCTGTCCGTCTTCTTGGAGCAGAGGTAGTGCACGACCTTCGGCTTGTCCAGCTTTGCCTCCAGCTGGTTGCCCAAATCGCCAGGCACTACAGTGGGGCACAGAACATGCATGAGGCCCTGGGCCCGACAGACTGGAGACCCTCAAGGCTTGAATCCAAAGGCCTTCTACCGTCCTAGGCAGGGCTTTGTCCACTCTGACCGGATTGGGAAACTGGACAGAGCACTGAGCCACTGAACCAGCCAAAGGAGAAAGCACTCCAAGACAGGCTTGTAGAGGACGGCCATGAACAGAAACACGACGGGAAGAAGCTCATACGGGCACCTGCTGACCTACTGAGGTCCCCAGGCTTTGCTAAAGGCCAGAGTCCAGTAGGTTCCAAAGGACAGGCCATCTGCAGAGCCCTAGCAGCTGGGTACACACGGACCAAGCACTGGAGATGGCTACCCTGAAACAACACACCATTCTGGTCATAGCTGGTGTGGGATCGGGGAGACTAGGCCTAAAGGGTAACTTCTCTCTACCTGAACTGGCCGATTGATTCCACAAAGAGCCCTGGGGAGTGTGGGGAGCTGATATAGGGTTAAGACTTGGACTGACCTGTGGCAAAGTCATAAACAATTCCCAGCTTAGAGGGCACAGTCCTCTTAGCATAATTAGGCTTGACCTTATAACGTTCCCTAGATCTTACTCGGGAAGCTAATGGGCTGAGGGAAGTGCAACAAGAACAAAAACAAGTGAAACTCACAAGAACAGTGTAAACAAGTGAAACTTACAAGAACTGTGTAACTATGGAAACCACTACCTTGTTTACCACTCACTATAAAATAAAGGCTCAGCTTGCCTTGGGATCTTTCTCTGTGGCCTCAGCCAGGCACAGGGAAGATCCATGGAGACTAAGGAAAGCTAGAGCGTTCTGAACGCTGTCTCCGTGTAAAACATTCTTCGCCGACTCCGTCCACACCTATGGGAACCCCCTGGACCCCCTGGGGCTGGACCCCAGGAGGGGAGCCTTGTGACATTCAACTCGATCCCCATGCCCAACGTTCAAGGCCTTTATTTTTATGATTTTAATCCTCATCTGTTTATTGACAAGAGAGAGAGGAAAAAAGGAAGAAAAGAAGGAAAGAAAGAGAAGAGAAGAGAAGAGTAAAGAAAAGTGATTCGTTGCCTCCTGTGCACATGCTGACTGGGGACTGACCCTGCAACCTAGGTATGCTTCCTGACCAGGAATCGAACCCCCAACCTTTTGGTGTATGGGACGACGTTCCAAACAACTAAGCCACCCAACCAAGGTAGCATTCAAGGCCTTTTAGAGTCTATTTACTCCCAGTGACCTTTCAGGCCTCACCTGCTCCCACATGCCATGCTCTCAGCACCTCCCATATTCATCCTTATTTAAGATCCATAATCACTAAGTGAACAACCAGCGCTTGGCTCTCCTTGGCATTCACTGGGCTTGGACTATGAACCCAGCCCTGCAAAGGGCATGCCCTCCCTGTGCACCATTTCACAATGTCCTGGGGGCAGCCACGGGAGGCAGTTGTAGCACCTGCCTTCACCTCCCTTCAAGCTGTGGGTGCAGAAGTGGGGAGTCCCCCGCATGACAGGCCTGTGGACTGGGCAGGGGAATACAGAGACCTTGGTCATTATCTCCACCATGGGAAATGGCTGAAAGAGGAAGCCACCAGTTCTGCTTTGTCTGGATGGCCTTTCACACTGGACAGGCTGTGTGGCCTCTAAAAATAGCAGTGGTCACTTCCTCAGACCTTGAGCCTAGAACTAGGATAAAAGCCATCCACGTGCCTTTCACCTCAAATAACACTGGGAGAGAATATCCTTATTATGCCCACTTTATAGATGAGGACACTGAGGCTGGGAGAGGTAGAAATGGCTTACTACAGTCCCTTCCCCCTGCTCAGGGTCTTCTGCGTCACTTCTCTGGCCTCTGCTTCCTCTACTATCCATTTGAGCCCCACCCATTGAGGCTGGTCATCTCCGGATTACCGGTCTGTGACCAGGAACAGCTTGTCCACTGCCAGCCATGGGGTTCCCCGGATTAATACCAACTGCCTCACTCCCTGGGCAGGTTAAGATTCCCATTGCTGCTGTAACCGTTTGGCTCAGTGGATAGAGGGTCGGCCTGCGGACTGAAAGGTCCCAGGTTCGATTCCGGTCAAGGGCATGTACCTTGGTTACGGGCACATCCCCAGTAGGAGGTGTGCAGGAGGCAGCTGATCGATGTTTCTCTCTCATCGATGTTTCTAACTCTCTATCTCTCTCCCTTCCTCTCTGTAAAATCAATTAAAAAAATATATTAAAAAAAAAAAAGATTCCCATTGCTCTGTGACCTTGGGAAGGGACTGAAGCTCCTCTGATCCGACCTAGGATAACTGAGAACAGAATGACTTCATGAGTTAGCACCAATCCAGGAGAAAAGGCTGCAATCCTTTCGTGGACCACACACTTCCCAATGCCACACCCTTTTACTCAGAACTCCTTAGACCCACACATGACTCCCTGCGGGGCCCCCAGGATAAAGTCCAACCAGTC